TGAACGGTTTGGGGTTTCGGTTTGCTCCCTAAACTCCATCAGTGCTCCCGAGACTTCCTAAACTTCTGAAGCTCCCGAAGCTCTCTAAAACCTCATCAACTCCATCTAGGCTGCCCAGTAACCTAGGCTTAGAAAGGGTGCCCTTTTTTGCTTAAAGGGGTGTATACGGGAACCTAAACCCCCAAAAAGGGAATGAGGGTACTACTGGGCATCCTAGCCATAGAAGCCTCCCTAAGTTCACGAAGCTTTCCCAAACTACCCAAGCTGGGTAGCCCAGTAACCATATTGGAATAAGGTCACCCTTTTTGCAGATCAGTTACTGTGTAAAGAAGGGAACCTTGGACCAAAAAAAGGGAAAAGGGTTTCACAGTCGTAGTTGAGGGTCAGTTCTGATAAACGCAAATGATACGCTATCTCTAAAAGTACCGCAGTCTCGGGCCCTTAGGGTTTAGGGGGGTTTAGGGCTTGGGGGCCCTTTCTGCTTCTACTTCTAACTAGGCGGTCCCTTATACACCTGAAAAGCCACCACAAACCCTAAACCCTAAACCCTAAACCCTAAACCCTAAACCGCTGGTGGCCTGGAGCCACTGGTCTGTGGGCGACGCATCGTCGCATTGTGCGGGCGTGGACTCAGCAGGAGAGGCGTCCTCCATGGTGGTGCCAGCCCATGGCCGTCCGCGGTTTAGGGTTTAGGGTTTAGGGTGTAGGGGTTAGGGTCAGGGGTTAAGGAATTACGGGCTTAGGGTTTAGGGCTTAGGGCTTAGGGCTTACGGCTTAGGGCTTAGGGTTTAATGTTTCGGGTTTCGGGTTTAGGGGCTTAGGGTTTAGGGTTTCGGGTTCAGGGTCATCGTACGAGGGCACTCTACTGCAGGAGACCAATGAACTAACCAAGCTTCTCTCACCCGCTATTCCGATAGACTTGCACCACTTACTCTCCTAGAAATTACTGTACCCATCTTACCCTTAGATTTTTCAGTTTGCTGGCAGCGTTGCAGTCGATGTCTAGCAAGGTTTCCAGGCTTTTTGGGGGGTTTTGAGGATCGAGGCGCTCAGGGCTGCGACACGCTCCCTGCAAGCGTGGCGGCTGCGACAAATCGGTACCCTAAACCCTACACCCTACACCCTAAACCCTAATTATACCCTAAACCCTAAACCCAAGACCCAAGAAACCCTAAACTTGGCCCTAAACCCTACACCCTAAACCCTGCGCCAATATGAACCCTGGCTGCTTCTCCATGTCCCCTGTAGGACAAGGCAAACCTCAGACTCCAAAAGCCATAACCCTAAACCCTAAACCCTAAACCCATAAACCAAATCCGAGCTTAACCTCCTAAGCCACAGCCCAGGGCCCACAACCCTACAAGGCGCCCTAGGCCCTAAACCCTATTATGAGCCCTAAACCCCTGGGTTTAGGGTTTAGGGTTTAGGGTTTAGGGTTTAGGGTTTAGGGTTTAGGGTTTAGGGTTTAGGGTTTAGGGCTTCCAAAAAACCCTGCTAACCGCCCTCAAGTTAAAAGAGCCTAAGTTGCTCACGTCTCAAAAATCATTGAAGCCCCCCCAAAGGGGGTTGTGGCTAGGGTTGAGGTGTCTCAGGGCGCATGAAGAAGCATGATTGCTTTGGAAGAAATGATGTCTGTCCCACATGTAGTGGCCGCTGGTGGACAGTGGCACTGACCCCCAAACCCTAAACCCTAAACCCTAAACCCTAACCCCCACAACCCACAAGCTTCGTCTTCATGTGTTTCTTGCTCAGCACTGCACAACGGAAGCCCAAGGCATGCAAACTCTAAACCCTAAACCCTAAACCCTAAACCCCAAAATATCCCCCTCCCCCACGCCCCCATTGCTGCCTGATGAGTAGTTTCTTTACACGTCTCCAAGCCCAAGCGTATAAGCTGTTTGCAAGTTTTGTTTTTTTTTTTTTGGGGGGGGGGTGGGCTTCGCTGGGTACTTTCCCTGCAAGAGAAACCCGAAACCCGCCCACCCTAAAGCCGATGCCTAGACTCTGAACGGTAAACCCTAAATCCCAAAATCCTAAACCCTAAACCCTAAACCCTAAACCCTAAACCCTAAACCCTAAACCCTAAACCCAAAACCCTAAACCCAGCCCTCCAAAATCCTTAAAAACCCCTTCAACCCGCGCTCGAACCTTCCAGCCCCCGAACCACACCCTAAGTAGCCTTTGAACCCTAAATCCTCAACCCTAGGCCTAAACCCTAAACCCTAAGCCCTAAGCCCTAAACCCTAGCCCTAAACCCTAAACCTTGCAGGAATTATGGACTTTGGGGATCTTATCCCCTACAGCTCCGACCTTGAACTCGCGGCGCATGCGCTCGCAGTAGACCTGAGGCTGTTGGTGCCTAGAGGGCTATGTTTCCCAAACTGTTTCTAGAGGTTTGGGTTGAGGGTTAGTGTTTAGGATTTAGGGTTTAGGGTTTAAGGTTTAGGGGTTCCAGGGCTTAGTCTTCTAGGCCAGAGGAATGTAAAGGGCGCCCTTGCTGTTTTCAAGGGGCTTACCAGGGAGCCTAAACCCGCGACAAGGGGAAAAGTGCGTCACTCTGGATCCTGGTGTTCAAGAGGGGCCTCGGTTTCAAAGGTTTTGGGGCTTAGGGTTTGGGGGGGGGGGGGGTTCGGTTAAAGGGGGGGGAGGGGGTGGGGGGGGGCCGGAGTGCGTTTGGGATTTGGAGTCTATGCTTAAGGGCATGTTGGTCTTTCAGGCTTTCGGGCTTTAGGGCTGAACAGGCCTAAACCCTAAATCCTACTCCCCAAGCCCTTAACATGTAATCAGCATTAGGGCAGAGGGAGCTTTAGGGCTTCTGGGGTTCGTTGGTGTCCGATTTGTCACTAGGCGGCCGGCCCTTAAGGGGACTTACTCTTTGAGCTTAGGGTTGTGAGTTTAGGGGCCTGAGCCCTCTCTTTGCAGCAATGCTGAGTTGTAGAAGGGCTATTCGGGGTTTACGCCCTTCGTTCAGGACATACTCCCTGGGTTTTTCGAAATCGTATAGGGCTTGGGTCCCTCAATGCTTTTACCGAAAGCTTTGAGCGAAAAGCCTCTTCTGCGAGGCTTCTCGGGTCGCTTTTGGGTGGTGTCTTTGGAGGGGCCCCGGGGCCTTTTGGGTTGCCCTAAACCCTAAACCCTAAACCCTTTTGGAGGGCCGGGGGGGGGGGGGGGGGGGGGGGGGGGCCTCCCGGGGGTTTAGGGTTCAGGGTTTAGGGTTGAAGGCTTCGGGAAGGGCTGGGTGTCTCTGCAACTTACGCACTACACGCGAAATCCTGCATCCCATCCCTTTTGAGATTCAAAGCCCCATCTACCCAAGATCTTTGCAGCGCGTCGAACGACCACGAGGCCCAATACAGTTCATGGTGCCGAATCACACCAAGGCGTTTGGAACTCGGCCAGTGAAAGCCCTCGGCCAAAAGATTCCTAACCCTGGTCCCTAAACCGCCTAAGCGTAATCCTAAGCACACAGAGTCCCTGTTCTGCCGCCAGAGAAGCCGTTCAAGCACCCCTCAGCCCCCCAAAACCCTTAAGGGGCTTAGGGCGTTTGGGCTCTAGGGCTTTAGGGTTTTGGGGGGCTTTCGGGTTTAAGGAATTTTGGTTTTCGCCTATTTAGTAAGGGCTTAGGGCTTTTTAGGGTTTATCGTAAGGGCTTAGGGTTTTAGGGCGTTAGGGTTTTTAGGGTTTTTAGGGCCTTCCTTTTTTTCAGGGTTCTAGGGCTTTTGGGGTTTAGGGTTTAGGATTCAGGGTTTAGGGTTTAGGGTTTAGGATTTAGGGTCTGCACGCTTCCGCGCAACTGTTCGGAGAGCCTCGAGGTGGAGCTCGCCCATCCCCGAGATGATGGTCTCGTTCCTCACATGGGTTTAGGGTTTAGGGTTTAGGGTTTGCGGTTTAGGGTTTAGGGTTTAGGGTTTAGGGCTTAGGGTTTGCGACATTAGGGGTACCTTACTGGGGTCCTTAGTATAAGGGATCTTACTATTTGGGGATCTGTATTGCGGTCCCCTGTTCTCGTAAACCCTCACATGCAGGCGCGCGCGCGCGCGCGCGCGCGCGCGCGTTCTTGCGGCTTTGGGTTCGCCCCCCGCGGTGTAGGGCGTAGGGGTTAGAGTTTAGGGTAGCAGTCTAGATGTTCTTCTTGATCCTGAAGTCCGGGACGCTTTCTGCTTCTTCGGGTTTCGAGCCTACACGCCTAAACCCTAAACCCTAAACCCGAAACTTTGGTTTGAAATAAGTAAGGAATGCTAGGGCTCCAGGCGTATCCTGCTTTTGCTCGACGCGAAAGGTGGGATCCTCACCTCAGTACTTCGGACTGGGCTTACGGTTGAGGGTTTGGGCTTTGGGGTTTGGGCTTTGGGTGTTTGGGGCTTACTACTGCTTGCTTAAGAACCCTTCAAGAGATAAATAAAAAAATGAAAACAACACATTCTTCCCTATAAGGGTCATAATTGAGGTTTTTTCTTTTCTGTTTTTTTTTTTTTTTTTTTTCGCTTTTTGGGGTTCTTAAGCAAATAGTAGTTTCGGGTTGTGGGTTTGGGGTGTCGGGTTTAGGAAGCCTCGCCTCGTACAACGAGTCTTGGGGTTAGGCTCCGAGTTGTAGAACACCAATCCCCGAACCCTTTGGGGCTTGTAACCCTGAACCCCAGAGCCTGTACCCTAAACCCTAAACCCTAAACCCTAAACCCTAAACCCTACACCATAAACCCTAAACCCTAAACCCTAAACCCTACACCCTACACCCGAAACTTGCCCTAGACCCTAAACTGCCTGCATAAACGCACCAGGAGCGACAACTCGGCTCTCGGTTGGGATGACCGACCCTCACACGAGCGCGTCAGCTTGAAAGTAATTCTCAGCAATAGCGAATTAGGTACCCGATGGAACCCCTTAATGGGATGTTGTCGGGGGCGAACGCCGCCAAGAATCGAGGACCGGTGACCCTGCACACATCTCTATACATGAAGATAATCTACTTCTATCAGGTCATGATCGGGGCCTGTAGTAATCTAGTGGCAGGAGGCTGAGCCTGCATGTGGCCGAAGCTGTTCCTGCACGCTGCTGCTGTCGCCACCACCGTCAGCCTGGCCCCACGTGACCACAAACCCATCGCCCTTGATGGCGGCAAATGCGCCTCTGGCTGCTTGGATGCGTCGCACATTTGCCAGCTGCTTCTGCACCTTGCCGCTGTCACCACCACAATCAGCCTTGCCCCACGTGACCACGGACCCATCATCCAGGATGGCGGCAAATGCGCCCCTTGTTGCTTGGATACATTGCACGTTCTTCAGTTGCTCCTGCACCTCTGTGCTGTCGCCACCATAGCCAGGGTTGCCCCACGTAACCACAGAGCCATCGTCCAGGATTGCGGCAAATGCAAATAAAGAGGCTTGAACCTGCTTCACGTTCTTCAACTGCTTTTGAAAGATGCTGCTGTCGCCACCAGCGTCAGCGCTGCCCCAGGTGACCACACACCCATCACCCAGGATGGCGGCAAATGCCCTCAAGGAGGCTTGGATCTGTCGCACACCTTTCAGCTGCTTTTGCACCTTGCTGCTGTCGCCACCAGCGCATGCGTCGCCCCACGTGACCACCGACCCATCAACAAGGATGGCGGCAAATGCGTCTTTAGTAGCTTGGATCTGTCGCACATTTTTCAGCTGATCCTTCACCTTGCTGCTGTCGCCACCACCGTCAGCCTTGCCCCAGGTGAGCACAGAACCGTCACCCAGAATGGCAGCAAAAGCAAGGTTACCAAACCTGCAACAAGTGTTCCCCCAAATCTGAAGCTCGCTGATCTGCAAGATCAGGGCATCGCCCGAGACCAACCTTGCTTTTTTGAGCGAGGTGCCTCCATCTAAGACATCGCCGGATGAGTTCAAGAGCCACCCTCTAGAAACTCCGAGCGCCACATGCGCTTGCCGCTTCAAGCTTTCAACCGAAGCCTCGTCGTCTGCCTCCAAAGACACAGATCTGCCACTTATCAGGCTCACATCCAGAACCAGCACCATGGCAGCTACACCAAGCTGATGCCCAAGAGACTAGCCATAAAATGTTGGCATGCAATGTGCAACATTTGACATGTAAGACTGACTTGATGACACGTGAGCTGCGCCGTATGAACTGTAACCCACTTACAGTGCCCCACCCAGTCATCAACGACTCACAAACCCCAAACCCCAAACCCCAAACCCCAAACCCCCAAACCCCCAACTCAGACCGCAACTCCCCAGGATTAGCAACCTTGGGCCGGGCTCCGTACGTTGGAATCGCCGCAGCGCCTGGCAGCATTGCTTGATACTAGCCTGCCCAGTAACCTAGGCTTAAAACGGGTGCCCCCAAAAAGGGAACAAGGGTACTACTGGGCATCCTCGGATACCAAGCATTTGGTGTGGGGTCAATTTCGCCCCGGGCGGCTTTGTCCGGCGGAGGCAAGGGTACTGCCCACACTGCTTTTTGCGTCTAGGCAGGGAACTGAAGCCCTAGCTTGTGTTCCTAAGCCCCTTGAGAGTCTAGGGTTTTCGTTCTCCCTAAAACCTAAACCCGAGACCCGAAACCCTGAACCCTACCTAACTAAGCCGGGAAGCTCTAGCCCCTAAACTACTATTTGCTTAAGAACCCAAAGAAATGAAAAAACAACAAAAACAAGTACCTCGCCCATTACCCTTATAGGGAAGAATATTTCATGTTTTCTTTTTTTTTTTTTGGGGGGGGGGGGTCTTAAGCACCCTGAAACGGCCTTCTGGAATCTTGCTTGGTCATCGCGGGAGGCGGTCACTGACAAAGACATCACCTGGGCACCCCCCCCGACTTGACTGACTGTGGGCCTTTAGCCTTCATGGGTTTTAGGGTTTAGGGTTCAGGGTTTTTTGGGCTTAGAAGTGCAGGACCCGGGGTTAACGGTTTATGGTGCAAAAGCGAAGGCTCCGGACAGTGAACTTTGAAAGCCTCGTAAACCTTGCATGGAAAGACAATTCTTTGCTGAACCCGAAACCCTAAACTCTCAACGCTAACCCCTAAACCCTAAACCCTAGTAATACTGGTTCAGAGATTGGAGCTGTTTATGGGGTTAGGATGCGTCTCAACTTGCGCACCCCACTTCCTCCCCGAGTAACGTAGCAAAGCTGAAGGGGGAAGGGCGCCCTACATGCTGAACCATCTGTCAGAACTAAACACTAACTTTCAAAACACTGAGCTCTCCACAAAACCCTAAAGACTCAGAGCCCGAAACCCTCAACCTTGAAAAGGGCTTGCGAACTCAAGGAACATCAGCCTCAGCCACCCCAACACTCAAAGCCCCAACCCTTCAACATAGAAGGCCCCTACACCCTGATTGAGGCCCTGCACCCTCAACCCCAAACCCTAAACCTCTACACTTCTGCACTTTGAAGTTGAGCGTTTCGGGGCTTGTGATCCTGGAACACATCGGTCGAAGTTGCTTCGCTCTGAGCAGTGTTCATGGGTGGTAGCATGTCGACTCGCACATCCAACCCCAAACCCCAAACCCCA